TAATCATATGTGATTGTATATATTAATCACATATGATTAATGTGGAAAAAGAAAATTATTTAATCAAAAACGCGAAAATGAATCTTGTGTACAGAAATCATATGTGACTAAATATACAAGAACAACTATTGAACAAGAATGTGAAAATTGATATTGTCCATATAAATCATATCTAAGTAGATATATATAATCTCTTGTAATTAAGCACACAAGAACAACAAACTGAATCGAGAACGCGGAAATAAATATTTTCCACATAAATTCTATGTGATTAGATACATATAATCACATGTGATTATATGCATTTAATCACATATGATATATGTTGACAATATTTATCTTTGTGTTCTCGATTCAATAGTTGTTCTTGTGTATATAATCATATGTGATTATATGTATCTAGTCACATATGATTTATATAGACATCGTTATTATTTATCCGTATAAATCATATGTGACTAGATACATATAATCACATATGATTATATTATTTAATCACATATGATTATAGTGGATAAAGAACAAATATTGAATCGAGAATGTGACAATGAATCTCATCCACATAAATCATATATGATTGGATACATATAATCACATGTCATTATATGTATTTAATCAGATATGATTTATGTAGACAATATTTATTTTTGCGGTTTCGACTGAATAATTGCTTTTGTGTAATTAATCACATGTGATTATATGTATATAATCACATATGATTTGAGGTGGACAAGATTTATTTTTTCCTTCTCGATTCAATAGTTGTGCTCATGTACTTAATCACATACGATTATACATATAATCACATGTGATAGAATACATGAGAACAACTATTGAATTGACAAAGCAAAAATGAATTATGTCCACATAAATCATATGTGATATAATTACATGTGATTATATGTATTTAATCACATATGATTAATTTGGATAAAAATTTGTTTTCACGTTCTTGGTTCAATATTTGTAATGTGTATATAATTACATGTGATTGTATCTATCTAATCATATATTATTTAAAGAGACAAGATTTGTTTTTTCCAAATAAAATCATATGTGATTAGAAACATATAATCACATCTGATTAAATGTATTTAATCACATATGGTTAAAGTGGGAAAAAACAATTATTGAATCGAGAACGCAAAAAAGAATCTTAGCCACATAAATCATATGTGATTAGATACACATAATCATATGTGATTAAATACGTATAATCACTTGTGATTAAATAAATGAGACGAACTAATAAATGAATATTATCCACATAAATTATATGTGATTATATGTATCCAATCACATATCATTATTTGGGCAAGATTTATTTTTTCTCTTTCAATTCAATAAATTTTCTCTTGTATTTATGATTTATATGGACAAAAATGAATTTTCTCAATATAAATCGCATGTGATTATATATATCTAATCACATATGATTTATATGGACAAAAATGGATTTTCTCAATATAAATCATATGTGATGAAATACATATATTATATACACAAGAACAAATATTGAATCAAATATGAATAAAATGGGTGGTGGATAGTGGTGAGTAGTGATAGGTGGTGGGTGATAAGTGGTAGGTGGCGGCGGTGGTGGTGGTGGGTATTGAGTTTAATCACATGTGATTTTATGTATTTAATCATATGTGATTTATTAGGAAAATATTTGTTTTAACGAATCTTGTTTATGTAAATCATATCTGATTAGATAAATATAATCACACGTGATTATATGTATTTAATCGCATATGATTTATGTGATTAAATACATATAAATAATACATATAATCACACATGATTTATGTAATTATATGTATTTAATCACATATAATGTTAGTGGTTATAGGTAGTGGGTGGTGGTCGTATGGTGGCGATGCTTGGTGATGGTGGGGTGTGGTGGTGGTGGGTGGGTATAGTTGTGGCAGGTGGTGTGGGTGGGTGGGTGGTGGTGGTGGTGGGTCGTAGGTGATGAGGGTTGTGGGTGATAGTTGATTTATAGTGGTTGTAGGTGGTGGTGGATAATCATATATGATTTATATGATTAAGTAATGGACAAAGAACAATTATTGAATCGAGAATACGAAAATGAATATTCTACACATAAATCATATGTGATTGGATACATATAATCACATGTAAATATATGTATTTAATCAAATATGATTCAATATGTCCATATTAATCACAGGTGTTTAAATACATATTGAATCGAAAACGCGAAAACGATTCTTGTCTGTATCAATCATATGTGATTGGCTACATATAACCACATGTGATTATATGTATCTGATAACATATAATTTGTATGGATAAAATTCATTTTCACTTTCATGATTTTAATAGTTGTTTTCATGTACTTAATCACATGTAATTATATGTATCTAATCACATATGATTTATATGTACAAGATTCATTTTCGAATTCTCGATTCAATAATTTTCTCATGTGTTTAATCACATGTGATTATAAGTATTTCATCACATATGATTAATGTGGACAAGATTTTTTTTCACATGTGATTAAATACACGAGATCAATCATTGAATCGAAAAAGTAAAAGTGAATATTGTCCATATAAATCATATGTAATTAAATACATATAATCAAATGTGATTATATGTATCTACTCACAAATGATTTATGTGGACAAGTTTTAATTTCACATTCCCGACTTAATTGTTGTTATTGTATTTAACCACATGTGATTATACATATCTAATCACATATGATTTATACAGAGAATATTCGTTTTACATTTTCGATTCAGTATTATCATGTATTTAATCTCATGTGATTATATGTATATAACCACATATGATTTATGTGCGCAAGATTCGTTTGTGTGTTCTAGATTCAAAAGTTATTCTTTGACCACATAAATCATATGTATATAAATACATATAATCACATGTGATTATATGTATTTAATCACATATGATTTATGTGATTAAATACATATAATCATATATGATTTATGTAATTATATGTATTTAAATACATGAGATCAACTACTGAATCACATATGATTTATGTGGACAAGATTTATTATCGTGTTCTTGATTCAATAATTGTTCTTTGCCAACTTTAATCATATGCGGTTAAATACATCTAATCACATGTGATTATATATATCTAATCACATATGATGTATATGGACAAAAATGAATCTTGTCTATATAAATCATATGTGATTAGATACATATAATCATATATGATTATATATAAGAGAACAACCATTGAATCAAAAATGCGAAAACAAATCTTTGTTCACATTAATCATATGTTATTAAATACATATAATCAGATATGATTAAATACATGAGAAAAATTATTGAATGGAAAACATGAAAACTAATCTTGTTTATATAAATCATATGTGATTAGATATATATAATCACACATGATTTATGCCATTATATGAATTTAATCACATATAGTGTTGGTGGTTGTAGGTAGTTGGTGGTGGTCCTACGGTGGAGATGCATAATGGTGGGTGGTGGTAGTAGTGGAGTTAGGGTAGGGTGGTGATGGGTGGTGGTGACTGTGGTGGTCATGGGTAGTAAGTGATGGGGGTCGTGGGTGATAGTTGGTTTGTGGTGGTGGTGGGTGGTGGTTATAGGTGGTGGGTGGTAATAGTGGTGAAGGGTGGTGGGGCTGACAGGTAGTGGTGGTTATGGTAAGTGGTGGGTGGTTGTGGTGTTGACGGGTGGGTGATGGCGGGTGGTCATGGATGGTGGTGGTGGGTGGTGGGTGGTGGTGGTTGGTGGTGGCGGGTGGTGGTGGCAGTTTTATGATTTAATCACATAAATCATATGTGATTAATATGAATAAAGGTTGTATAATATTTAAGCTTTTTTATAGTAAATTAAATGTTTGTATTTTAAAATTTTAAAATATAGAATGAGGGTATTTTGGTCTTTTAATAATAATAAAAAAGAATGAAAATGAATTACTTTTGGGAGAGAACAGGTCCGGATTTCATATATCCTGTGTACACTCTCGGTTTTGACCGATATCTTCCAAGCGTTGTAGCTAACATGCCGACATCGAAAAAATTATAAAAAACTATCAAATTTACATTGAAAATTTAACGATTATAATTTATAAGCAACACTTTTATGTAAAAAACGGTCCAATTTAACAAATAGTTTATAGATAAAAGGTCAAATAGGTAAAATTAAAAAGTTTAGCCATAAAAGAAACTGGCTAAACTTACTTTCTCAGCCTATTCAGTGATTTTCAGATGCAGCCTATAGACTTTATTGGACATCTACAAGAATTTATTGTAATCAAGGTTAGGCGAGGGGGTAAACATGGAAATAAACATGATACAATAGTTTGATAGCAATTATATGGTATGGTAGCTGAACCATGTCCAAGTTGAAATAGACGAGACGAAAATTACTTACCTGTGGGACATTAGAAATATCATGATGGACATAAAAAATCAACTACATAGCAAAAAAAGAATGTAGTTTCATTGCATTTGGATGTATTGCAATGAGGAAGAATTTAATATTTTATCAAGCATGTATAATCAGTAACAAACTGGAAAACATACCAGCAATAAGAACTAAGAACTGAACATGCTAATTTGACCAACAATAAGAACTGAATATGCTAAGTTAATCGATTATTCTCCAAAATTTAAAACATAAATGCAGAATCCATACCCAAGTACATATAACATCAAAAGATTTCACTTTTAGATAGATACCCATATTATTTATACAGAAAGAAAATTCCGATACTACTATTATTTATCAGTGAAAAAAGTGTCATTTTGGCTGCAATCAATTTTTTATTATTCTAACTGAAGTTTGAAAGTTAAAAATAATTCATCTCTAAATGGAAATAAAACATAACTCTAACTGAAAATCATATGTTCCCGTGTTTTGTAAAGATCATCATCTACAGTTTTGGTAGAGAAGCTGATCAGCAGACCTTATATATATATATTCCAGAATCGATCATCTTGCAACAACAATTGACTTTAAGCAACTTGAATTCGAATGCGGGGAGAGGCCAAACGAATACTAAACAGATCAAAATAGAAATGGAAAGGCCAGATGAATGCATCACGGACGGAGGAGTGTTTATGAAGGAATCTCTTGTGAGCTTCGAGCAGGACGGATCTAAGGTGGAGAACACGCTGGATAAAATCGTTTTGATCGGAATCGGTAGACCTAAATTCGAATGTGGCGTCAATTAAAGCGGAATCGGGGACATCACATAACAAATCCAAAAGTGCCTCAATGTTGAATCGATCGTAATCACCTTTCGAAACCCTAGGTAATTGATCGGAGAAGCACCTACGTTTGGCCATGGTCAGTAGAATAGAGACGGCGACAGTGAAAGTACACGCTTTTGGCTCCAAAAGTCACTTAATGATGGCAGAGGGATTTTAAACGCACAATAATCTTCAATGGGGAGAGAGAGTCGGAGTGAAGAGGCGGTGGTTCCGGCGACGGCAATTCCCGGTGGTCTCTGTGGTGGTGCTGTGGTTCTGGAGTGAAAGTACACGCTTTTAGAATTGATCGAAGTGGGTGGTTGGGGTGGGTTGGGGGTAGGTGGATAGGGCTTTTAGGATTGAAATAGCCCCGAACAAAATTAGAAAACAAAAACGCGTGTTTTTTTTAAACTAATAGGCTAAAAAATGTTCTCAAATGTTCTCACGGGAAAAATGTTCTCATTGGAACATAACTCTCTCTATATATATATATATATATATATATATATATATATATATATATATATAATCTCCCTATCTAATAAACAAAACCATTTTGCCACGTGTCCACTCAAAACCATTCATTTCATACAGAGTTAAATACCAATTTTGCCACTCACTTCAATGTGGATTTTCGAAAATGCCCTTGATGCTTTACGCCTACGAAATATCTTTGGCAATCACAGTCTCTTCTTCTTTCTAACCCTAAGCCGTTAGCCACACCTCACCCATCATAAGGTATTTTCTTCTTTGTCATCTCTTTCATCATCTTCAAAGATTTTGGGTTATAACGTTTCTGTCTTTCCGGGTCTTTTTTTTATCTGGATTTTGTGTTTGAGGTTTGTAGATCCTTTTGTGTTTTCAGGTTCTGGTGTTTCACCCGGTAGATTGATCCTTCATCGGAATTGAACCCCTAGACTCGAACCCTAATAAGTTGCAAAGCCCAAAATAATACAAATGTCGTTGTTTTTGAAATCCAGGGTAGCTTTCATAGTTATCTTCAGGTGTTTAATGATTTGAATTTTAAATACCCAAATCCCTAGGTTTAATCCTCCTATGAGAGCGGTCAAACCTTAAAACGAAAACCTACCATGTTCGTCTTTAGTTGCCGATTTGCAGGTATCGTCACCTACTGACTCCATCAACCTCTCCTTCTCTTCTTTTCTCTCTAATATCAGTTGTGTTACAGGTCTGAAATTTGATTGTATAGAAGCCTTAAAACTAGATAATCGGTAATTCGATATATTAAAGCTGGAAGGGTGAAATTGAGAGGTTGGATTATTGATTAAAATCGGTTCTTTTTGTTCTTGCTTGTAAAACATGGTATGACTATATGAATAGTTTTATAGTTTTAACAACCATAAAAGTGTTTTCTATGATCATAAAGTTTCCGTTTTTATACAATTGTTTTTACAAACCTTATGAAATGAAAGTATAAGCTAATAAAAACAGCATGTAGTCGACCCCCCCCCCCCTCTATAATCGTGTATATGTGTTTGTTGCCGCACAAACTTATGCAATTAAAGGTGGTTGGGAAATGATTGTGTAAATTTGGTTTTTACTACATGAAAGTAACAAACATTTAGCATTTCTTTGAAATTTATGTGTTTTGCAGATAAGTTATCAAACTGAGATAATGTTGTCATGGCTTATGCCGGTTTGGGTGATTGGAATCAGAAAGGTTGCCACCCTGACTCAGGATTAAGAAGTAAGTTAACTGCATGTGTTTGTGTGTGTGAAATAAGTTTAAGAGGGCATTTATGTCTTTTACCCAAATGAGAAATTGAGTGTCTTATTCAACTCACAATTTCTCAACCATATAATTTTGTTTCAGTCGCCGTTACGAGCTCATGATGCATCCAAAGTGACCACATGAGAAGCTTATGGTATTAGTCAGTTTCTTCTCTATTTTTGTTTTCGAGCTTTGTTTGAATTTGATGATTTTAATCGATTTATCTTTTTAGGAAGTATGCAAAATGTGTTGAATTCGTTGCATCCCTAAGTCTACTAATAAAGGGTTGTGGTTAAAATAACGAATCAAGAAAACTATGTTTCTTTGGTTTTTATAAGTTATACTTTCAATTTCATATGCAATGAAATTTATAATATTTGAAAGATGATTATGGGTTTTTGTGGTTTTAGGTTTAAAGAGGTTGCCATATTTAAATAAAACAAAGAATACAGGTAGATAGTTTTGTGGTGTACCACATTCAGGTGTTGGTGTCACTGGTAAAAAAAACTTTAAGCAAAAAAGATAAATGAATTTGTTATAGGATTACCTAAAAACCGAGTCAAGGTTATGGTCAAAGATGTATTCAAGAATTCTAATCAATTAGAAAGTCCTCCATCGACCCAAATGAACGTTGTTTCTAAAAGTCTAAAATCTTTATTTAAATTAATGACGATTTGATGGAATTTCGGTTAAATTTATTGCTTACTATTATACTTCAAATCTCATGATAACCAATTTTTTAAATGTATTGACTTTACTGAAAAGCTAATCGTTAAAGTTTAAAGATATGTAGATAATAAGTCTCAATTTTATTACCATGAAGTTAAGAAAAAAGAAAACAACATGGCTGTAATTAAAATATAAAAAGTCAAATGCATTATATTTGTTCATTTTTCAAGGAGAATGTTTTTATATATTTAAGTTTGAAGCTGAAATGTAAAAGTTAGGAAAATGGTGTATTTTTTTGTTTGATAAAATACAATATATAACAGTGTACTTATGTTGCTTTGGTTCTAATAGCATCCTACTTTTATTTCTTACAGTTAGGCAGTTGTGGCATTTAAAGTTAGGGTTGTTTGAATGGGAAGTATGAGCGTTGGGTTTACAAAGAGGAAGCATAAAACTTTGAAGAACATTTTGTTGTAAACAAGAGTTTTTGTATTTGAAGTTGATCATGACATATTCAACTACATAAATATTGTAGTTCCTTTTCTAATTTACTGTGTTGAATTCTTTGTTGTTGTTTTTTTCTAAAGTTTAATACGGGTGTAATTATATTCATATTAGTAAATTATACGCCCAGTTTTTCAATTTTTATTTTTTGCAGTCTTATGTTTTCTAAATTTAATGTTTTTATTCTCAAAAGTTTAGATGCACTTATTTGTAAAAAGTTTAAATTTTATGAGTTCTAAATAATATTGTAAAAATTGTAATTTTTCTAAAAAAATGTGCAAAATACCCATATTTTACCTGTAATTATATCTTGATAATATTCAAACTAAGAACTCCCAGATTGCATTTGATTTAATTCAAACTAAAACAAGGAAAAACCAATTTAATTTGATTTTATTCAAACTAAAACAAGGAAAAGCCAATTTACATATTAGGTTCGATAGTTAATCGTCCATTATTAGGTCGTAAATATATGCGTTGGCCATATTGTTAGTAATTCTAAAAAAATCATTACAGGAGCATTTGATGATTATAACAATTATTTTTACACAACTACATTTTAGATTTTATACATAATAATAGCAAAATTTTAAAAATCTTTTATAAATTTTTTACCCGTGGGAACCACGGGTTGTAACCTAGTATATATATATATATATAATATATATATATATATATATATATATATATATATATATATATATATATATATATATATATATATATATATACTAAAAAATTCATTGTTTTCTATTTCCTAGAGTATATCAGTATAATGTCGATATATTATGCGACACTAAGGTGGTGAAAAGGTATACCACTAGCCTTACCTATTAAATTGGGCTGCTGTATATGCCATTCGTTAGGGCACACGAAAAAATGGGCTGGGCAATTGATTTGAGAAAACTAACCAGCCCTACCAATGGCCAGGGTATGCAGCCGGTCTTTTTGCAATTCTGCCACACTGCAACTTTCAGGAAAGGGGCCTCAGGATTAAGCAGAAAACTTCGAATCAAACCATGGGTTTCATCAATGGAAGCCACATCAACTAAGGTGTCTCCGCATCTTGAACATGTTGCACTAATATCATGAAGATTTTGAGTTTTGGTATGTAAAAACTGACAATCATGCAGGCTTCATCAATGAAATTGATAGGTTTGGGACATATTTGGGAACAATATTCATAAGAAAAACAGTGAAATCAATCAATAAGAGGGTAGAACATGAAGCAGCTTGTGTTTCGAAGTGGGTTTGCAAAACAGCAGAACCTAAACTTTTTGGAGTGTTTTGGGCGGAAACTGAGAGGGTGTTTGGCTAAGCTTATTAGTGGTTCCACACCGAACTGCTAGCTATAAGCTAAAATATTGTTTGGATAAAAAATAGTTTATTCCTGTGGGAAACTTCTAATAAACCATTTTTTCATAAGTTACTTCACACTTATTTATTAGCTTAAGCTAATAAGCAATAAGTTTTTTTTGCAAAACACCCCTGAGTCTATTTAATTTTGAAAGTTCATTTTGCTAAACCATGCTTATTGATTGTATTTTTTTTTTTCACACTTTTCTTCTTCGTTCTCTTCGCAGCAGACTACAAAATTTGGTTCTTTCAAGATATCATCAAAATGCATAGAAAACATGGGGTACTGTGTGCGAGTATAATTGGTAGCAAAAAATTAAGATGTGAGTTCATCGCCTTTTCATTCGTGGTGAATGTAAAAGAAAAAGAAAATACTATGCACTTTGGTTGTAAGTATTAAGAGGATCTCGTAGATTAAAGGAAAAAATCTACCCGAGGTTTTTGCGATAAGGTAGGATGGTTAAAGTGGAGGGCAACCACAAGATTTTTTTCGCAAGGTGAGATGGTTAAAGTGCAAGGGAATCACTAGAATTTTGTGCGACAAAAGGGTCCCGTTGGATGGAGTGGAGGCTTAAAATCATGACATGGAAGTGTAGGTATTACTTCCTTATTCTATCTTTTTGAGCTTCTAAGTACAATATTAATCTTCTAATTTATTTCATTTTTTTTTACTTTCAGCTCTTTAACCCCCCCCCCCCCCCCCCCCCCTGGTCTTCTAGGAAGCAGCATCTCTAACAGGTATGGCTGCCTACATGTGACCTCCCCCTTAAACAATATTTCCTACGAAATTTGCGTATTGTTGCTGTTTAAATCTTTAGATATGCTTTGGGAGATT